GGCCTTAGTTACCTTATCGAACACAACTTCCCTGAATGTTGCTGGAATTTCAAACTTTTTGATCATAAGATTTATGCGGTTTGAATGATCCCACTTATCTGAGTCCTTTTTGTTAGCGTAACTTTTATCCGTAAGAGTAGTGAGTTGTTTAGGCAAGATTTAGATCCATCCCATTAAGAATGATACACACATTATCTTTCCAACCCTTAAACTTTGGTTCAAGCACATGGATTGAATTGATATTGTCACATATTGTAGAAGTAGATGAATTAACTGAATAGATAACATAAACCTAATTAACATGTTCACATAAGAATCCATATTGAAAAATCGATAAATTTAAATAATAGTGGACCCCATTACAAGAGATCGATCATAACATTTATATTTAGCTTTTGGACAGAAATATCAACTTGTAAGTGGTAATCTTGTGGTAGTAATCAAATATTAACAATAAATCTGGTCAAACATAAAGTCTATCTTTGGACTGATTCAATGTTCACATAATGAAATTTTTTACAATAGTCACATATTTATTATCACGGGTGTGCAAATAATTTGGCCAAATATTGACCTTTCTTTGGGCCGGTAAATATCCACATGAATTATATACACAAAAATTTTCAAATATTCCAAATAAATTAATTTAGACAAGAGAGGTTATTATGGTAACATGTTATTTCCATTAAAATATTTTAGAAAATTAGTAATCCGAAATAAACTTTAAGTACCAAGATTTGAAATTTGATTGTTCATTTACCTTTTTAATTTTGATTTTTCTTTCTTTTATTTTAACAAAAAAAAAAATCCAAACATAAGTCCAACGCTACAGCAGTGGCATTGCCTGGGCAGTGCGCCTAGTCTGGGCATTGGTGGGCGCTGCAGTGCCCTTTTGGCAACAGCCGGGAGACTCAGCACCGTCGCTGCCATTTTGTACTAGAATTTTTTCGGAAAAAAAATCCTTAAAATCTGAATTTATGAACTTCAGGACTAAAATTCACATCCCAAAATTTACAAAATCCAAAGTATGAATTTCAACAATAAAATTCTAAATTGAAAAATTCTTAATTTCGAAATTTATGGCTAAAATGCACATTTGAAATTAAAGAATTCTAAAATTCAATGTCTGAATTTCAACCATAAAGTTCTTTCTTTAATTTCAACGATTTAACATGTAGTTGGTTCTGACACCACTTGTTAGATTTTTATAAAACTTTAAATTTCAAGAACATGAAAATTTAATTATTTTATTGTCAAGATTCTACGGTCAAATCACAAAGAGAATTATTAAATGCGGAACATACCTTAATTTATTGGGAATTATTATTTATTATAGGATTTTGAATCTTGATTATTGGCTCTTTTTTCTGATTTCAACTTCTTGCTCTATAACTTTGATTGTTTCAATTACTTTTTCTTGATTCTTGATTGTCTGTTTTTTATTGTGAGTTTTTTATCTTTCTTTTCAATATGTTTTCTCTTGTATTCATGTGTTGACGGGATGATACAAAAAATGAAAACTACATATGAATTAGGAATCATAACTCTATTTATATTTTGCTGTGCATATTATCTTCCATTTCAGTATTATCCTTGAGAAGGGGAACTACCAATTATTTAGCAAATGAAGGTTTTCCTAATTAGCAAAATGTGAATTTCCCTACAATGACTTGCCTACAAATTTAAAGAAAGAAAGAAAGAAAGAAAAAAAAACACGATCTTTTGTGAATCCACTGTGTTCGAGGTTGAAGGCTCTCATATTACACTTATTTTTTTTAATAGATTGGTTAGGAATTTCACTATATACTTTTTTTTTGTAATGAAGGTAGTATTTATTTATTTTGGCTTTTACTATAAAATAAGTTTGTTCTCACCTACTATAAAGGTGAGTTTGAATATCCATTCCAGCTTGTACTTTAATATGATCAATAAAACACGGAGCGATTCTCCTAACATCCTCAACCCCCACGCCCATTTAATGTCTTTATTGTTGTTAAACAATTTTTCATATGGTTGATCGGGTGAATTTCGTGTATGTTATTAAACAATTTTGCCATATTTTGTATATTTTGGCTACGTTAAACTGTTATGTACTCCAATACTTGTAACAAGAAATTTTCCTTAGGTCCCGTTCGGGAGGGATTAAAATCCAATTAAAATTGAAAATATGGCATTATTGGGTCCCACTCGTCTAATAAAGTCAACAATAACTGCTATATTTTCAATTTTAATCCGATTTTAATCCCTCCCATACAAGGCCTTAATAAGTTTATTTAAAAAGCAGTTTTTAGCACATAAATTAATTCTACAGTAAATCAATTCTCATTTTCAACCAAACATTATTCAATAAAATAATATTTTCCATCACATCAATAATTTTTTTCTTCTTTTTCAACCACACATTTTCCATCATATCATTATTTAAAATCAATTCTTCCTCCAAAAATTTCTCACAAAGAAGCTCTAAGAAAGAATTGACAAATTAGTGAATAGAATTGACAACCATATATGTGAATACACGTGTAAAGCTCTAAAGTTATGTATCCAGTAACATTCTAACACGTGTATCATGATATAACAAATCACCGAATATGTGGACCAGCTGCTTTTGCTTGTCCCTTCCGTCATTGTGCTGCCGAGACAATAGCGTTGGCTCAACTTGAACAGTCATTTTTTTGAAATAATAAATTTTTGAATATTAAATCTTTTAAGAATGTATGATTAAAAAGTAATATATTTTTTGAATTTATGTAAAGAATATTGTTGTGAAAATGTGGGTTAAAAATGAGTATGAAAAAAAAATTATGAAAAAATGATTACCAAACATGCTAGATTCTATTCAATGATTTTAAGATTCCTTTTTATAATTTATTATTTCCATCAATCTTTATTTAACAATATGCCCCAGATTGTTCCATTTTCTTCCCAAAATCTATTCTTTCAATATCTATTTTCAATCGCACATTCTCTAATAAAATAATATTACACGCAAATTCAAAAAATTTTTCTTATTTTTTAACCACATATTTTCCATTACATCACATAATAAAATACATTTTCTTCTTAATAATGTGCATCAAACACCTATATCTCGGGGAAGATTCATAACATCAATTTTGACAACACTATCAAATCATGCAACATTTTTATTTACATTTCAATTTCACAAGTATTAGTGTCCATGTATTGCAATTTTTATTCACCAAAACAACTTTGACATTCGATTCTAAGTTGGATAAAGATACAGCACAGTTGGCTCACTGTGATAGGTTGGAAGGCTAGCCCTAGGGGTGTGCATGATTCGGTCCGCTTTGATTCTAAAGAAAATCGAACCAAACTTGAAATTTTCAGGTATTTAGTAAATGAAACCTTCAGATCTAAATTTAATTATAGAATCATTCGAGTTCGGTTCCATTCGGTTCGATTCCGGGATTACATATAATAATTAATTTTTTTATATTACAACAACGTTACATTAATTAGACGACATATTCAAACTTAACTCTTACAAAATAACGTAATCCAATGTCGTGATATTTTTTGCACCTCTCTCTATTGAGTTCTTCATAGATTTAACTATTAAAATTACAAGAAGATGAAGATGGCTAGTTCAAAATAATAGAATGGACACTAAGGTAGAATAAGAGATTTGGTTAAAACTTAGATCTTGAACAAGTTAGGCTTGACTAAAAATTAGAAATAGTAAAATCATATTTTGGGTTTGGACTAAATTAATTAGTTAGCAATTTATTTTAAAAAAATAAAATAATTTGACTATAAAAAATTAAAAAAAATTAGAGAAATTTAGTTCTTGGTTTAGAACTGAAAATCGAACCAAACTCGTCGATTCTCGATTCAAATACTCGTTCGGGTATTTAACTTAATAAGAACCGCTTGATTCGATTCAATTAAGTTCGATTTGGTTCGAAAATTTTGTCCAACCCTAGCTAGTCCCCTGACGTTACCAATACCTAGGTAATGTGTAGCATGATTCTTTTGAATTTTTCACAAAAGGTGAAGTAGTGGCACAGAGGAAAGGAGTGACGGGACGCAAGTGATGGGGAGAGGTTACATAGCGTGTGAGAAAGTTTAACGTGACAAGGGCAAAAGAATAAGATAGCATGACATTGTACGAAACGAGAGTGCATGATCAACCCATGTAGAGCACCTATATTCCATTTGCAGCTATACAACCCAACTTAACTTGCACGATGTTTATCGAAGGAAGCTAATTCTTGTAATAAAGGCTATTAAATTAAGCTTCTTGTTAGGGAAGAATTTATAAATTATAAATAGAAATGAGTAGTAAATAAATGGATACTACTTGTGGCGTCATTAGTATGTATGATTGATGAGGACGGCTTTTAAACACAATAATTTACAAAATGATTATGTAATTGCTTGAGATTCATGCAGCCCTGAATATTGTGGAACAGAACCCAAAAAATAAAATAAAACTTGCTGTCTACCACTAATTTCTCATCTCCTTCTTGTTGTCCCCAGTCACAAGGGGGCTTGTCCCACGGCATACAGAAGGTATGTAAGTACCACAAACTTCTCACGTTGCATGGGAAACACAGAAATAATCTGCGGATTATATCACAGATCTAGATCTCGTGGATCCTCAAAGTTCGAAAATTAGATGTATTTTCTATAAATAGAATATGTACCTACTGATTGCCCGTATTTTTGTACCTGGAAATTTCAAATTCTTGTTATTCTGAGGCTTCCCTAAACATGGGATTTTCCCATAAAATAGTTACGTTTCTCTCCAATTCCTTTCCCTCTCATATTCAAGAATTTCTTTAGCCTTGCCTTTTGGCAAGCTTTTCAGCCGCTCCTTGTTTTCTTCTCTCCATTGTTCCAACATTAATTCAAAATATTCTAATTTTCCTCAAAATTGTGCCGCAGAAGATGGCTCCATGGAGGGATTTTCTGATGTTTTTATGTGCTTTTGATCCTTTGTAGATCATTTATTGATGAGTGGACAGGGAAGAAAAATGGAGAATAAGGGACATATTTTGATGAAAAGGTACGAGCTGGGGAAATTGCTCGGACAAGGGACTTTTGCAAAGGTTTATCATGCGAGAAACCTTAAAACTGGCCAGAGCGTGGCTGTTAAAATCATTGATAAAGAGAAGGTAATGAAGATTGGTTTGATCGACCAAATAAAACGTGAGATTTCTGTAATGAGGCTAGTGAAGCACCCCAATGTTGTTCAGTTGTACGAGGTTATGGCCAGCAAATCCAACATATATTTCGTCATGGAATACGTCAAAGGCGGCGAGCTTTTCAACAAGGTGGCCAAAGGACGGCTCAAGGAGGACGCCTCCCGGAAATATTTCCAACAGTTGATTGCCGCGGTCGATTTTTGCCACAGCCAGGGTGTCTACCACCGCGATTTGAAGCCAGAAAATCTCCTTCTTGATGAAGCAGGGAACTTGAAGGTGTCAGATTTTGGGTTGAGTGCATTGCTGGAATCAAAAAGGCAAGACGGCCTTTTGCATACAACATGTGGGACTCCAGCATATGTGGCGCCGGAGGTGATAAACAAGAGAGGCTATGACGGCGAAAAGGCCGATATGTGGTCATGTGGAGTCATTCTCTTTGTTTTGCTAGCTGGTTATCTTCCGTTTCAAGATAGTAATCTCATGGAAATGTATAGGAAAATAATCAAAAGTGAATTCAGGTGCCCACAATGGTTCCCTCCTGAGGTTAGAAAGCTTCTTTCAAGAATTCTTGATCCAAATCCATTTACAAGAATTACAGTAGCTAGGCTCATGGAAAATTCCTGGTTCAGAAAAGGGTTCAAGCAAATTGAAGTCACAGATCTTGATCTCGACAAGGATGATTTTCCACACAACATTTTTGACGCCATTGATTCAGATTCAGAGGGTTGTTCTTCCAAACGGAAAGAAGAAAAGAAAAAATTTCCTAGGCCACATAGTTTAAATGCGTTTGATATAATCTCTAATTCCCCAGGATTCGATCTGTCGGGTTTATTCGAGAAGGACGTGAAAAACAAGGCGGAGGTATGGTTCCCAACCGAAATGCCGCCATCACAAATTGTGTCGAAATTGGAGAAGGTGGCTTCGATGGATAGTTTCAGAGTTATGAAAAAAGATGGACTAGTGAAATTGAAATGCAGCAAAGTGGGGAGAAAAGGGCAGCTGTCGATAGATGCTGAAATATTCGAGGTGACACCGTCTCTTCATGTGGTGGAGGTGAAGAAAATTGCTGGAGATACCTTGGAATATAGGAGGTTTTGTGATCAAGAGTTGAGGCCTTCACTCAAGGATATAGTTTGGACTTGGCAGGGTAATAATACTAGTACTACTGAAGAACATTTGCAGCAACAGCCTGAACAACATGAAGATCATATACTCAACCACAAGGCATGCTAGAGGTTCAAAATGTACAATGTATTAAGTAGGAATTTCTCATTTAAATTAGATCCAGCTATCCATTTTGTTGTTTGCTTGTTTTAATTCTTCGTTAAATTAGCTATATGCAAAAACCCTTTGTATATTGGGTAAAATAGATTTCAGCATTTCACCATGATTGAAATCTTTTTTTTTTTTTAATGTCTATTTCTCTGCTTGGAATTAATTGCAATATATTGTAGATAAATGCTTTGTTTAATTCTTTCATCTGCGGCCGATGATACGTCGAATTTTGTGTTATAGGTGATTTTGTTTATGATTGCAAGCTAGTTTCTGAGGTCCCTATTGATTCATGATTTGCCAAATATTTAGTCATCGAACACTTCTCTTGCTATCACAATTTATAACATAGGCTTTCTTGATCACGAGTTACTATTTCGGTCCAAATAAGTATCCAATTGACAAGTAGTATCATAGAGTTCTAAGGTGGAGAGAGCTTTAAAGAATAACTGTCTTAATAAAAACTTATAAAGCTCAAACTAAATAAATTCAACTTGTTCGATATGTCGAACTTGTCTCAACCTATCAAACATCATTTCATATGTAGTTTAGTGTTGAGATTGTATTTATAATTTATAAAGTCTTAATTCTAATTTATTTACACAACAAAATTGATGTAGAATACATCATTGAATGAATTGAGGAGTAGTTGAATCGAAAGGGGAAAAACAGTAAAAACAGCAACCTGTAGATTTGGTGTTCAAACTCCGATTTGACTCATAACACATTTTTGGAAAGAGAATGACGAGCCGTACTGAACACACTACTTTGATGTGATATATGATGGTTTTTAGCCATTCGAGTTCGTTTAGAACTTGGAAACTGTTTTTAAAGTTTAGTGCTATTTTTGTCATTTAGTTTATTTTGAATTCTTTTCAACTTTAGTTCTTTTGAACTAGGTTTCCATGTAAATCTTTATAAATAAAGGGTTAGTTATTCGTTTTTGCACATTTTACATTAATAAATTTTTGAGAGTTTTTTTTTTCTTTTAATTTGGTGGATTTCTAAAATTGTATTCTTAAGATTTTCACTTGAATTCTTTGCTTAGCGATACGTCAAAAATAATTTCCACTTGAAAATTTCTTGCATTGTAGTTTAGATGTTCCAACATTCTGTGTGCAGAACTTAGTATATCCTAGTGGATTTACATGTGAATGAATGAGAGAAACTGTTATTTGTTCCTACAGTGCACAAAACATGCACTTAGCTATCAGCATTCCTCTAAACTCAGAAGAAATAGTATCCTCATATCCTTATCACAAAGAGCATGTTTGGCAAAAAAACCTGCATTTTTATAAGTCGAGGTTCCACAAATTGTGTGAACCAAGCTTATCGAGCTTGTATGAGTTGGGCTTAAGAATTTAGGTCCACACAATTTGTGAGACCTCGACTTATAAATAGCAATTTTTTCACCGAACATGCTCAAAGTGGTCACTTCAAGGACTCCCCTTCCTAAACGTACTACATAACATCAAGAAAAACCAATAAAGGAAAGCCTAAATACACCAAAAAAAGGGGACTAAATATTGGCTAGTAAAGATGGATGCATATCAGATAAAAGTTTAAAAGACAAAAGACTAGTTAACAGAACATTTGAAGCAATATAAATGGCAACGACTTGAAAAATATCAAATCCAAACAGACTAATATATATATTCAAGACAGTGAATAAACACAAAAAGACTAACTTCAGAAATCCTAAAATCATTTAAACTACATCAAGAGCTGATGCAGGAGGGTCCGAGTCAGACGGAGCTGAGTTGTCAGATAACTCGTTGATGGCACTAACGTACCATGAGTTGGCGGATCGGCGTAAGAATGAAAAGTAATCGACGACATTTCCTAATTTGGGTCAATTTTGAACACGTTTTGGTATTTTGGCTATAACTTTGGTTACAATTGTCAGAATCACGCCCATGACCCCAATTCGGAAAGTTCGTTTTGACGCGCACGTCGTGGGCACCAGCTATGCTCGGTGTGCATCGGTTTCGAGGTCAAATTCAGCTGTTTTCCCTTCCGAATCATCGATTTAAGTTATTTTTTGCCATTTATGGTAATATTTCGATTTCCTTTTTGATATAGAATAATTGCTTGATTTGAGCCGGATTTTGGTGATATTATTTCTTTTATTAAGTATTTTATTTTGGTATGAATAATATGATTTTTCTATTTTTGGCAAAATTCCGATAATTATTATTTTCTGGCTATTTAATCCGGCTTGTGGGTTATTTTCATTCAGTTGTTGAATAATAAAGATATTTCTCATTTTTCTTTGTATTTCTCTCGCGTTCTTCTCTATTTTTGTCAATTGATTCTAGCCTGCAGAATAATCACTATACTGCCGGCGTCAAGAGCAAAGCATTCACTCTTCTCAATGTAAGAAAAACATCAGATTGTAAGAAGTTAAAATTGAACTTCACTGATAATCTCTTATTGTTACTGTTATGTAAGCATCCTATATGTATGCTTATATATAAAACTGTAAACACAATCAAACATGGAAGTTTGGACTATCGAATTACCTCCCGCCATTATCGACATGAAAGCCTTTAGGAACAAAAAACGTAGCAGCTGTTCTGAGTTTGAGAGCTTCCAATGCCTCGTTCCAGCCTCTGAATGATGGTGTAACATAAACGAGTAGACGGAATGGCATTAGAGACCCAAACAATGTTTCTTTCATAGACTTGGTCCATCTTCATGTAATTGTAGGAATTATGAACTATTCGTAGCAACTTCCAAATTAGCCAGACTTAATATTGGCATTGCAAATCATAGATAAAGTAAGGTTTAGGACACACATGGTTTTCCTTAATTAGAATGGAAAATTTCTACATTCTCCCACTTGGCCTAATATACTCAGGGGCGGACGCAGACAAATAAAGTTGGGAGAAATTTTACAATAAAAAATTTACATCCAAAAAAATCATACCTCTTGCAATTTTGCATCCGAAAATTTACATGGAATATGATTTTTCCGAATGTAAAATCTCAAAAATTTTTAATGGCATATCCTATATAAATTTCCTAATAAAATAATGCAAATTACATTGAAAAATTTNATATAAATTTCCTAATAAAATAATGAAAATTACATTGAAAAATTTGTATCACAAAAATAATAAATGTTAACGAAATAATTAATTTTTTTTTAAAAATGCGAGTTAGACGCCTCTTTTTAAGATATACGTTTGCGTCTTTAACTATTTTCGATATCTATTTGAACTATTCAATATGCCTATAATGTAGTTCTCGAAACGAGCTTTGAGATGATATAAGCGATTCGTATATTCGACTACCGTACGATCATTAGAGAATTTTTAAAGTTGGCATGTTATTGAAATTCTCGAAATACTAATTTTAAACTGTCTACTTTGACAAGTCATAACATTTGCTACGATTGATCGTTTCACAGGCCGTTAACGACATAAAAAATTAGACTGTGAAGATATTAAGAATGCAATATTTTGATTTTGTTTCACATCTTATAATAATTTCGAAAATTGAAAAAAAAAAAGTTTGGGGGTGCGTGCCCCCCCCAGCCCCCCTTGTGTCCGTCAATGAATATACTCCATTATTTTTCATAGTAAGAAACAAATGCATGAATCAACTTGATAGATCCTCTTAGAACGAGTATTATCTTTCATATATCACAATGTATTTTGCATATTAACTCTAGTCCATAAAACTTAATGAATAAACCCTATTTTTATTCTAGGTCCAAACTTAATTGATTTTTCTCCAACAAGGAATACATGCAAATTAACCGAATATAAGAAATTAGCATAACTGAATTAGAATTTCAAAAATAATATTGTCACATACAATGAAATCAAATTAAAAGTCCAAGTCCCATACGGTCTGCAAGATTCTTGAATCGGCATGCTTTTTGCCAAAGGATCGGCAATCATCAATTCAGTATTTATGTGCTCAACGACGACTGTTTTGTCTTTAAAAGGTTTTCTTATGGCTAAATACTCAATGTCAATATGCTTGTTTCAACTACCACTTTTGTTGTTTTGAAAGTGCAAAAGGAAATCACGAAGTGTTAAAGAAATCTCAAAGCCGGAGAGAGAGAAGAAATTCTCTCAAACCTAAGTTTCGCGAATACCAAGAAGATCAAAATCTTCTTCAAATGAAGAAAGTCCAAGTCCCGAAGTGCAAATCCAAGCCATGAAATCCAAGTGTCGAACAAGTCAAGTTTCAACAAATCAACTTTTCGAAAAATCTCGAAATCCAGGATTCAAACCACGTGGCCCCTCATCCTCAAACATTCAATTCATTAATCAGATGATCTTCCAATTTTACAGTTATAAGAAGATTATCATCCACTTGTATTTCTCATAAAGGCTTATTAGCACAAAACGTCCCTACATTTGGGATTTAGTGTGCAAAACGTTCATATATTTCAATTTTTTGCATTTTCATCCATATTTCCTCGTTTCATTGCGGAAAACTTCATTTGTTTTCAATTTTCATCCATTTTCTCTATAAAAATATGTGAAATGGAAAATATACCCTTTTATTTAAATTTTAAAAAAAAGGAAAAAAAGAAAACAATAAAGAACTAATTGCAATTATTGGCCCAAAATTTTCAAACAATTACAAATGAGTCCCAAAAAAATAATTAAAAATCAAAACCAAAAAAAGAATAACTTCATCCTCTTCCCCATCCTCCATCAATCCCTGTTGCAAAACCCTGCAAAAAACCTCCTTCAATGTCCTTCACATTTAAAGCAATCCTATAAAATATTGCGCTTCTCAATTCTAACTCAGATCCCCAGTAAAAATTCCATCTTTTTACCGTCTTTAATGGAGCTTTGTCCGTCTTTCAAACCACACTCCATGGTAGACATCTCTTTTTTTTCTTCGTTCTTATCCTTTCCCTTCCAAACCCAGCTCAAAATCCCAAATATTGCTACAAGTTTTCGAATCTTTGCTGTAGCTATAGATTTAAAAGAGCT